GAGGTCCCTTCCAACTCTGATATTCTATGATTCTATGAACTGCATAAGCGACATTTTTGTTAATTTCAGAAATGGCATGTAAGGATATGTATCCTGAAAGTATCATTAAAACAGCTTTTGGTATATTTTATATATATTAATTTTTATAAAGAAAAAATATATCAATGATTTTCATGTGTTGATTTTCCTTACTTTCCATATTCATTTTATCTGTGTAGCATAATTATTCTATTTGTCAAAATAAGAGATTAAATCTTTAAAAAAAAAACCCTTGAAAATATACTTGTTAGTACATTGTGCAATCAGTGCTAAAATTTAAAGAGTATCCATAGGACCCTTTGTTTTCAGGTTTTATTTTATTTAATTTTTCCCAGGAATGTATCAGTGTTTATGACCATAACAACAAAAACAGGTGAAAGTCAGTGCAAAAAACTATTAATAATTTTTCAGGGTAAATATCAGGGTTTATTCTGGTGGACAGAAAGACGGGGTGGGGGCGAGTATTTAGTAGATTAATGCTTTGAATTCTGTTCACCAATGTGGTTTGCTGCAGAACTAAAACAGAATTCAAAACACAATGCCACCTCTGAGTTTAAGAATACAGTATGTCTCTAATCCCCAAATAAAACTTTTCATTTGAATAAACAGTTTACTGTTGTAGACTTAAAACTATTAGCCTATGAATATTTACATTTAATAATTGGGACACACCATTTGCAACACATACACTCAACTTCATCCTTTTCTCCTGTTTTTTTTTTAAACTTTCAAATGCTTCCTTTGTGTTCTGAAATGTATTCTGATACAGATTTTAGTTTTCTTCCCATTTTAGTGGGCCAAATCTTTAAACTGTTATTTGCTAACAGCTTGAAATGTGTACGTGGTGGGCGTGAGATTCCTCAGTACATTCAGATGCACATGCACTTCTAGACCAGGGGTTCTCAAACTTCATTGCACTGCGACCCCCTTCTGACAACAAAAATTACTTCACGACCACAGGATGGGGGACCAAAGCCTGAACCCATCCAAGCACCACTGCCCCGGCTTCGGAGGCCAAAGCCCATGCCCTGATGCTCTGGGCAAGGGGGGCCAAAGCTGAAGCTTAAGGACTTCAGCCCCAGGCAGGGGGCCTGCAACCTGAGCCCTGCCGCCCAGGGCCGAAGCCCTCAGGCTTTGGCTTCGGCCCTGGGCAGTGGGGCTCGGGCTTTGGCCCCAGCAAGTCTAAGCCAGCCCTGGCGACACCATTCAAAGGGGGTCCCGACCCACAGTTTGAGAACTCGCTGTTCTAGACCAGTGGTTCTCAACCTGCGGCTCACAGACCACTTGTGGCCCAATCAGCACACAGCTGTGGCCCATGTGATATCCTCAGGGCCATGTAGGAAATATATATATTGTGTGGATGAGGCCTACATAATACAGAGAGCTGCATATGTGGCCCACAATGGTAAATAAGTTGAGAACCACTGTTCTAGACTAATATATAGCATTACTTCTAGAGGCAGCTTTGCATATACACACAGACTAATGTATTATCATAATACATATCTCATGCAGTGTATTGTATTTTCCTAATAAAACAAGTTATTTTTAAATATTTTAATGATATAAAAGTAGAGTGAAAATAAACAAAAATTGAATATTTTTGTAAAACCCGGGAATTTTTCAGTAAAAATTGGTTTAAACTGAAAAAGGGGCTTAAGTATCCAGCACTCTTGTTGTCAGTACACTGTGTACACGTGTATGTGCACACGGTGAACTATGGACTACATGCTACTCAAGTAAGCAGAAATAGCATTTCCTTTCATAATGACAATCTGTTATAGTTTTGTTTAGTTTGCAAACCAGGATTTCAAAGTACACATCCGTGCTGTACTTGAACTTTATCTTCAAGATACTGAACTTTTAACATAAGAAGTGCTGACGTCCATTACATTTTCACACGAACATTTCTTTATCAGAGATGGCATGAACCCCCGTGTCTGTCAGCAAAACTCACTTTGGAAAAACATGCTTCAGAGGCCTGCAGAAACCACTCTGGGCCCTGAGCATCAAGGCGTCCAGTCGAGCAAAGAATTTAAACATTTCCCGCTGATTTCAGTGAGACTACTCACATGTTTAAAGTTAGTAACATGCTTAAGTGCTTTGCTGAATCAGGCCGTAGTGCTCAGTATCTTGCAGGATCTACAGGATCAAGCTGAATGGCATTTGTCTTTATCTTGTCTCTACTTCTTACTTTTGCCCTGTCTGTAAAGCAAGCTGTAAAGGTAGCACACCCAGAGCTTAATTTGAAGCAGATCACTGCTTTGGGGCTGTTTGATAGTTTTGTGCCACCTGGATTAGTGATGATTTTATGGTCTGAACAAGCTTTACAGTATGTGTGATGCTGCCTTGCATTGTTCATGATTGTTTTTCATTTGAGCTATGTATGAATCTTGGGACTCGTACATTCTTGTGTATTTCCTAGCTCCCCTCATCTTACTAGTAAAATGAAATATTAGTACTTGTTCCCTGCTGGTTGAAAGCATATTTTAAAGATTTTTTTTCAGTCTGTACAAAATATCATAATTTTTTTCTTTAGAACTTGTTTTCAATTTCATATTCCTTTGCAATGGACTAAATATCCAAACAATGATGCCAAATGTGAATCGGTGCCAATTACAGAAGTATTTCACGTCTCTCTATTAAACAGATACGTAAAAGGCAACCAAACTTCAAACACTAGGATGAGCTGAAGTAAATTCAAATATTATGGATAGTTTCCTATGTAAATACATTAAAACACCTAAGCCTACAGACTGCAGCATGGGAAATATTATTCAGAACTGGTTTTTACAATGAGACTTTCTACAAATATTAAACAATAAATGTGTGTTTCTATAGTTTCTATTTAATAGAGAGGTAGCTTTAGTATGTACTCAAACTTTGCTTAATTTTTTTGTTTTCTATTTTTTTTTAAATTTCTTATTCAGTTTACTGCCTGCAATTATATTTTCAAAACCCTTCCTTGTTCAAGTTTTGTATATAGCGAATGCCTCTTAATTGATACATAACCTAAATATCTTAGAGTTTACTAATTATTGTATGGGACTGAAAATAAATATAACTTCCAAGCTGCAATTGCTCTACTATAGATACACAATACAAAAACAATTTCATTTAATTTTGAAACAATTGTTTCAGAGTATAAAAAGCCACACATAGAAGTCTGAAAGTTTACTTACCCTGTACATACATTTTATCTGTAAAAATGCTTATGGCTAATGAATACTGCCAAGTTTATACTGAATTATTTAGTTTAAGTTAATTAAGAATATTTTTCTTATTAAAAGTATTGTGTTTATTATTAAGCTAAGATTATTGTGATTTCCATTGTCTTGGTAAGAAATGTTATTTCCTAGTTTTACATAAATTTGTTTCTCTCTCTTTTTTCCTAACAGAGAAAAATAAGAAGGAAAGAAAATATGGGGTTAGTATTTATTTTTTTAACTCTGAAAAGTGTTTGATTGTTGTATTCAAGTAATGTTCCCATTGTTCCTAACATGGTACATAGACATGGTGAGCCAAAATCTCTGCTGATGTGAATGGACATAACCCCAGCTGAAGTCAATTGAGTTGTGCCCATTTACATCAGCAGAGAATTTAATTCATTGCCTTAGAGCCTGATCCGATGTCCATTGAGGTCAATGGGAGTCTTTTGACTTACTTCGGTGGGCATTAGATCAGGCCTTTAGAAAGACTCCCAGCCATTGCATACACCTAAATGTGAGCTAACAAGAGCAGGGTGGTCTGTGAAGAGTCCTAGTACCTGGCACCGTGTCACATTTGTTTCAGTTAAAGTGAGAATGTTTCAGTGAGACAAAGTTTTGTTTATCAGTGTGTGAAAAAAACCACGTATGTATTTATATACTTCATGCAGTTTGTAACCAAGTCTAACACACCTTAGGGATTTGGCTTTTCTCATGTTCAAACTGACCTAAATCTGCTTCCTTACAGCACTGCTTGAAAAAGAGTATCCCAAACTCCTCTGGCCAGACAGAGTGTGCAGACTATTATCGCTATCCTGATTCCATTCTTCTGAGATCAGAGCTCACTTTTTTTCTTTCTGAAGCTCCCAACAATATCTAATTGCAATTTACTTTAAAAACTCAATATCTAATTCAGTTATCAAAAAAGTAAAGTTTTTTGGCCTAGAGTAAAAAATAAAGAGAAAATCCTGAAATAAAAATGAAGCAGAATGTAAACACAGCAAATACCTTCACTAAAAAATGTGTAGCTACCAACACATAGTTATGTGATGTAGTTAAGCAGGATGAGAGCTTTACATATTAGGAAGACCTTTGTTCATCTGACTGCTCTGGTATGTCTGTAGAAGGGGTGGTGCCCCGTCTCATTTTTCTCTTATAGAAACCCTAATAAGCAAATTTATTTTTACGCTCATTTGTTGAATATTTTACCCAATGTAATACACCAAAGTTTGTCAAGAAACTGTAAAAACAAAAAACAAATTGAGCCTCGAGTAAGTTTGAATGTAATCTAGGCAGGCCCATCCTTGTGTTTTATCATTTCTCTCAGTTGTAATATTTACAAGAATACTTCTTTACATGCAGCACAAGGTTTCTCATCCACAGCCCATGGACTGCCATTAGTGTATCTTCCATCAATGCAGTCTCTTGGAAGAATGTCTCATTACCATGCAAGTGTAACTAGCTCTGAACTCAAGATCAGTGTTACAAAATGTCTCAGAACATACCCATCACTGCAGCAGCTGTAATTCATAACAGTTGACAAGATACTGACCATTATACGGAGTTGTGTTTTTGTGAATGCTGTGGGTTCAAATGTAGTATCACTTTAATATGATAGATAAGACACTAGTTTTTATTTCCAATGTGGTGGACTCAATAAGTCTTTCCATATCTAGCTTCTTAATAATTGAGCAAATTGGTGGGAATTTCATTTGAACTATGTTTAGAGGTTCCACTATTGACCAAAGCTTCTCAATTCACTAGCTGCAGGCAGGATTTCCATTGTACAGCTTCTTTCAGTTGGACCTGTTGGGCTGTTTTTCTTTGCATTGAATTAGATCTGAATTATTAACATTACTGCAATAGTCTAAATACAAAAATTACAGAAATCTCATAACATGATATCAAACAGTATCAAATGCCACTTTTCAACAACAAATTGTTCTTTAATTCCAGAAAAACTTGACCTCTGGAACAATTGATTTTTTTAAACCTCAAACTAAATTATCTCTTAGATTTAGCCTGCATCTTAATATTGATTGCTTTTTAAAGCACTATTTGATAATCTTTTTCACTTTAACTAACTGTAGCTGACATATACAATTATGTTTAATCTGTGTTCAAAGATCCTTCTGTACTTGATCTTTTGCCACAAGGGTTATATGGCTTAATATCAAGATTTCCTGTGATCCCTTTACTAGCTAGTCTCACAAGACTGTATTGTCCCCAGTTTAAGAAGTCTGAACTATGAACTATCCAAAACAAGTCTGAACTATGAGATATCAAACACAATTTCAGTATGAAATTCTTCTCAGAAGTTAGGTAATTTCTTATAGTACATACTAAAGCTTTCCAAGTTTTTTAAAAAGCAAGGTATTAATCACAGAACTGACTTAAGTCTAAGGACCAGATCCTCAGTAGGTGTAAATTGATATAGCTCCATCGAAATCAAATGAAGATTTTCTTAAGATTGGATTCTGCAAGCTACAGATCTAATAGCACCCTGCATCTTGAAGGATCAGGCCCATAAACAGTAAGCTATGAATAGTCATGGCATAAATATGAAAGGCAGAGCATTCTCCTGATCCCTTTCTTGTTTTTCCACAGAAAACTAATTTTAAAATGTAATTTGTGACACTGTTTTAGCTTTTCTATTTTCAAAATACTGTAGGTGTCTTGTAGTGTTCAGTAACAAAAGCTGTACTGCTCTGATAAATTATGATTTATAGCAGATACCCACATTTTGAGACACAGAGGACTGTACTAAAACTGGTTGGTACCTGACCATCATTCATGCATGTAAATTATGTTATCAAAATTAAACAGTCATGATAGCCACATCTACATTAAAACTCCTAGATTAAGAGAAACTGCATGTTCATTGTCACCTGCAATAAAAACCTGTCGCTGATCAGTTTTATCCTTGCCCTGTAGTTATGGCAAGAGGACAGGATGCATTCTATTGAGACATTTTGAAAGTGCCCATCACATTAGCCTTCAGGTTCCACGTGGGATGTTTTAGGTTGTGTTTTGGCCTTGCGTGGAATTTACTGTCTCCTGTTCCTATAGGTTTGAATTCAAACACCTTTTGTTATCCATCTATTTTGCATTCCCCATTGGAATCCTTTTCTCTTAATTTGGTAGATAGAAAGATTCCTATATTTATAGCTAAAAATCCAGATCTTGTGTATTTTTTGCAGTTAGCCCATATTTTAGATCTGTACTAGATTTGTGGAACTATACTGACACTGAGAAGGCCAGAGTTAAGTCATGGCCCAGTAGTTTGTGAAGCAATGTGCTGTTGCTGCTGAGATATAGAGGTATCTGTTAAGATTCATAATACTCTGTTTTGTACCTCTACAAGATGACATTTAAGGTGATGGCACAGAGGTACTTGTCAAAGTCACAGTGAAAATATATTAACTGGCATTTCAGTTTGTGTATCAAAGAGCGTAGATTCCAGTTTCAGGGCAGATAAAACAATAATGATTATTGGCTCAAAAACATTAACCATTATGCAGAGCATTTTAGCTAACAAAAGGTATTTAAAGATCTGTGCACATATATTGGTTGCATTTGCCTAATTTTGTACTCTGTTATTCTCACCTCAGTACTCAGCATGGCTATGCAACTCAATAATTCATGAATCATCAACTCTTACAGCCTAAAAGATCCAGCATGCAAATACTCTCAGTAATCAGGGCCGGCTCTAACTTTTTTGCTGCCCCAAGCAGCAAAAAAAAAAAAAAAAGCGCCGACCTGCCCGAGCGCCGCCGGAGCCCACCCCCCAGAGTGCCGAGCACCGCCGGAGCCCGCCCCCCCCCCCCGAGCGCCGCACCGCCGGAGCCCGCCACCCCCCCCGACCACCCCCAACGACTTCGGCTCGCCCCCTTACCAGGTCGCCGCCCCAAG